TTCGAAATTCAAAAAATTCCAAAAATCTTAAAATTCGAAATTGTGAAAATATCAAAAAATCAAAATATTCAAAAAATCGTAAAATTCGAAATTCAAAAAATTCCAAAAATCTTAAAATTCGAAATTGTGAAAATTTCAAAAAATCAAAATATTCAAAAAATCTTAAAATTCGAAATTCAAAAAATTCCAAAAATCTTAAAATTCGAAATTGTGAAAATATCAAAAAATCGAAATATTCAGGAGATGTTCTATTAGAGGTTTTACGGTAACTTCGATTTTTTTTCTGTGTGTTTTCGCAAAATTCAAACTTAAAAATCCGAAGATTTTTTTCGTTCCTTTCGTTCTTTTTCCCTTCTTCGTTTCTCGATTTCCACTTCTTCCGCTTTTCAGCATTTCTCTCATTGAACAGTATTTTTCGCTATTTTTATAAGTTTCTTTCCGAATAAGTAAAAAACGGATTAGTTTGAGCACGAAAACTGATATTTGGTGGAAAAAATCTTTAGGTTTTCAAGCTACGCGCAATTTTCAAAACATGTGCTTTAAAAGAGCGCCGCTTCGCAAGTGTGAAGTTTCGCAAAAGCTACAAAAAGTTTTTAAATATTTTTAACTACACAGATCCTCAAATTTTGATATGTCGTTACTTTGAAAACTTCACACTTACGAAACGAAACCTGCTAAGCGTCGGTGATGCGAAAATTCGATAACGCGATAGGCTCGGAGATTTCGATGATTTTTGCTCTAAATTTCTAAATTTTCAGAACCTAGGCTTGTTTAGGCTTATTTTGAAGCTATAAACAGGCAAAATTCAAGTAACTCAAATTGGACAAAATCTGATCAAAATTTAAAAAGTTAAGATCGTTTTTATAAATTTTTGGATTTTTGGAAAATTCTGGATTCCTTCACATGTCTGTCTATTTCGAATAAATCCATTCGAAATTAAAATTTTTGAATTTGGCGCGTTTAGAGCTTCGAAATGAGTACAAACATGGCTAGATTCCAGAAATTTTGGTTATTTTGAAAATCTACAGTAATCCAAAAAAAAATCGAAAATTCAAAATTCTCACTATCAGTACCTAGTCTTGTTCATTTTGAAGCTCTAAACAAGCAAAACTCAAACTTTGCGAAACCTGCTAAGCGTCGGTGATGCGAAAATTCGATAACGCGATAGGCTCGGAGATTTCGATGATTTTTGCTTCGCAGAGTATGAAAACTTACCCATCTTACCGTGAAAAAACTTCTGAAACCCTGTATTTGTTAATCTCCGAAGCAAAAGCCGCCGAAATCTTCGAAACTTTTGCCGAAAAGATTTTTCAGCAGTTTTTGCATTTTTTGACGATAAACTCGCAAAACGAAAGTGTGCGAATGATTTCAATTATTTTTAAAGTCATCAATTGGTCAATTTTAGCGAAAAATCCCGAAATTCAATGAGAAAACACTTCGAAAAGCGAAAAAACTGTGAAAATTAGACGAAAAATTGGTAAAGACTTGTGCCGCTAAACAAGGCGCAGGCGGGATTTCGGAGTGTCGTTGCGAACTGATATTCCAAGTCTCGCCGTTAAAACGGCAATTAAAAACAAATTGTCGAGATTTTTGTTAAAAAAACCAGAAAGAAAATAGAAATTTCAAACAAAAATCGTGCAACCATTTTCGAAAAACAAATTCTGGTCGAAAATCTTCAGAAAACTCGAAAAATATGACCGAAAACATGTGCTTTGAACGGAGAGTTATTATCATGAAATTACAACTCGAGTTACAGAAAAATGAACAAAAAAAAAGAAAATATGCTTTTAGATGAATACCCAGGAACATTTCGAAATTCAGTTTACAGCGTTCTTTTTTCAGCCGTCATCCACCAGTCAGCGCCTCTTCGACTGTCATTTAGCCGTTTTTCACCAATTGCGCCTCAGATTCTAATTTTCGTAGAAGTGCTTCTAATAACACATTTTTTAGATTTCCAGATCCCTCTATGGCTTTTATTCTTTTTCAAGAGAAAAGTCTTTTTCAACAAAATTTTCCATTCTGCTGAAATTTGGCCTGCCAACCACCGGTAATTGACCAGTCAGCGCCTCTTCGACTGTCATTCAGCAGTCGTTCAACAACCTATTTTTTGAGGTGGTCCTATTTGAGGAAAATAAGTTTCTATCATTTCTTATAATCTAGTTTGGGTATGAGAAATTGCTTTCTGAATTATTTCCAATCAAAACCTTCAAGTCTGTTTTCCAACGGGTTCCGACTGTCCGTCGACGGACCGTCGACGGCCAGTCAGTTCTTCTTCGGCTGCCGACAAGCAGTCATTCGCCAGTTTGCGCCCCTTCAGCTGTCATTTAGCAGTTTTTCAGCAGTCCCCCTTTACCTGTGTAATCTGAATTCAATTTGAGATCGCGTACGGATCCGTTTGTTCATCATTCGCGGTCGGATCGGATACGGAGTTCGCGAACGGACAGAATACGAAGAAACCCGCAATAATGTGCTGTGTTTTGCTGGAAACGGTTCGCTTACGGTCCGCATACGATTCCTATTTCAACCGCGCGCGAACGCGGAGAGTCCGTAACGGGTCGGTTCGCAGTTTACCTGTGTATTTTATCTGTGGTTTCCTTCTTCCAGGGACCTTCCCAACAGTGCTCTAGTGTCTAACCTCTTATTCTTGCCCCTCCTTGCCATCTGTCCTTTTCTCTTTTTCCTCATTATTACATGTGTGTAACACCCTCCGTTGTTGGGTCACCACTACGCCTCCCCCCCCACGTTTTCCCCTCCAAGGGACAGGAGACGCAGACACAACGCGTACAACAAAATTCGCTTGTATTGATATCGTGTGGTATCTTTTTTTTTTGCTTTTTTGTTCTATCTCTGACAGGTCCTTTCTTCTGCATATGTTTTTAATTTTATCCTTTCGATTTATCTTTTTTAACCTTTTATTTTTAGCTTCAAACCCTTCGATATCATTATTCAGTTTTAAAACGCGCTCTATCGCACAAAACCTTTTTTGAAAGTTGGCATAGTCGCTCTCATCTCAATTTTTAGTTTAAAATTAATTCAGAATTAAATAAATTTTACAATTAACTTTTAAAGTTAATAAATTCAATTATTTAACTAATTAATAATTGTCTTGATTTCAGAGCCCGTAAACGTTCGAAAATCCTGCAAAAAGTCAACAAAGATGAACTCTGAACCCAGCACTTCTTCCGAAGGTAAGTATTTATTTCAAATTTGAGAAAAAAATTGAGGGCAAAAATCATATCTGTAATCCGGGCCTTTGCCGGGCCTTCGCGGGCCCTGCCATAACTTCTTTCAGAATCAATGTTTTCGAACCAACTTAATCAGATATGATAGAGCTCCACGAGTACTACAAAACGGTATTATTTGGAATACTGTATCTTGTCTATGAACAGAGTTACAGAGCAAAA